CAAAGAATTTGGGCAATTAAACAAAAGAGGCTGAACTAACAAACATTCAAACTTTTAACTTACCTTTAGCCGCCATTTCCCAAGAATTTGTAAAATGTTCTGCTTTCTCTTTCTGTGCTTTTGACCTACTGAAGCTGCAGTTTTGATCTGAGTTAAGTCTAACGCTTAAATATGTCTAGTTGACTAAGAGGAAATTTCCAGCTAAAAAGTTTTAGAGATGGAAGGACACACTTAAAAATAATTTAGTTTAATCTCATTTTGCAGATGAGTAAAATGAGGTCCTAAAAGGTTACATGACCTATCTGAGGTCACACAACTGCTTAGTAGAATACACATAGGCATCTGGTACTCTAAGCTCATTTATAGAATAAGAGACTTAAAGATTTGGAAGGGACCTTAGAAATCATCTAATCCAATCTATTTCACATATAAGGAAAATGAGAGTCACAGTACCCAGCGAGAAATAGGGTCAAAGGTCTGCTGAGTGTGAGTCTAGGGCTCTTTCCATTATGCCCAAAGTACTTCATACCTACTCAACTCGTTTGTTTGTTTTTTTAAAGAAATCTTTTGACATAACAAATAATACTTTAGTTTTAGAAATACTGATCATATATAATATACTAATAAGATTTCTACCTATGAAGTTTAGGGGAAAGAGTTCAACCCCCCCATTTTATTGTGCTTATCTAAAACAATCTGAGAAAATAATAACTTTGCATCTTTTGGTGGACTTCTTTTAAAAGCTTATTGACAATGCAGTTGAATTTTAGTGGCAAATTAGGATTTTTAGATGGAATATTTGCATTGAAGACACTGGAAATACTAGTTTCTAAAAGTTTCTGTTTACGAAAGTACTAGATACCACAGATTTACTGCATAATTTGTTATTTGTAGTTTACTGTAGTTTATCTTAGTTTAAAAATATTATGAGTATGCTAAGTTTTTTCATCACAGTAAGAAATGTCATACTATAGCATTCAATATATAAACTTGGAATGAGCCATACCTAAAGAATATCAGCAAGAAAATGCTTTTAATATTATAGACGTAAGTATGCTATTATCACAAAATACTTCAATTTCTTTTCTAGTTAGCAATCCTTTGGTCTTGACATAAATTCCTATCTATGGACTATATAAATATTTTCCAGAAAATATGTGTACACTATACACTAGTGCAGTTATAAAAGTCCTTACAGTTGATTCAGAATTTTAGTGACAAAACACATACACTTCACACAATGTATGTTGAGATCTATATCAGCATTTAAACTGAAGGGCATAATCAAACAAATAAATATGCTTTAGAAATCTCTACACTACACAATAATTGCAAATAAAAATAGTTAACTTATCTCAAAATAAGCTCTATAAATTTTTAAATAATGTTATTTCGATAAAAACCTATTTTATTGCTAAATCATTACAATTTTAGGCAAACCAAAACCTGCTACTTAATTAATAATTCAATTCACTCATTTTATCTATGTGTTTTTATATATAATTCTGGTAATCACTTTAAAAGTAACATGGAATTTGTCAAAAAGCTATTTGCTGAGCTTAAGGAAAAGAATCAAGTTTTTTGCAATTTTATAATGATACTCAAGTTATGAAAGAAAGGCCACACTAGGTATGCACTATAATTTGAAACCTAAGGGTTATTGAAGGGATTTTTAATAGCAAGTATTTATTAAATAATGAAAACAAACTATAAGAAGCCTCAGAGGTCAGAAGTTTCCTTTTCTTAACCACACTGACAAATAGTGCTGAAATAATAATGAACCATTTATTGATCTTAAGACCTAAGCAATTAAATGAACATGTAAATTTGTAGCAGTATTACAAGTAAATGAACATATACATTTGTAGCAGTATTACACACCCTGGGTGTTCTATTTTCCTGATCTACTTATATCTGTCATTTTGATTTCACAATGATTTGAATAAAGCTTTGCTGTTCTTTTCTGAAAGTCAAGACACTTTGCTTTTTCCCTTGTTACTCAAAGAAATACTATCGTTATATGTAGACATGCCATAGGATTTCAAAGATTTCATCTCTATCACCTTCAGGAAAAAAGATAAGATAACTATTTCAGCATGTGCCCCATCACTAGAAAGTTCATAACCAAATTCTTTGTAGATTATGTGCAATATCATTAACTTTTTCTCAGTGAAAATATGGCTCTAGGCTTAATTCTGTAGAACAATGGAAAAGATCTTGGTGCCAAAAGAGACATAAAAGTTGTAAAAGAAAAAACATTAAGTCTACAATACATTTGATGATTTTGCAAGTCTGAAGAATTCATCTAGGATTTTTAGCAGCTGTCTTGTGGAAGACTGCATATATAAAAGGCCTTAAGAGATTATCATTAAATAACACTACCGTAACAGAGCATAGAACTGGGGAGTCAAGGTACCAAGGTTTGTATTCTAGCTCTTGCCTTAAAGTTTTTGATCTCAGGAAAGTTACCCTCTCTATGCCTCAGTTTTCTCATCTTTATAATCAAAATTTTTGAACTGGATGTTTTCTAAGTACCCTTCCAGAGCAAAACTTCTATGATTTTTGTCTAGTGTTATGTTTTGGTATTAGACTAAAGGTTTATAGGAATCTCCCCAAAGGAATCCCTATATTCAGCCAAAGAAATTCTTTAGCTGAGAAACCCCTTGAAAATTGATAAAATTTTGCATTATCTGATAACGTATAAAGGTGCAGAAAATGGGCAATTTAATCATCAGAGATAAAGGATAGAAGGACAGTATGCAAGATACAACAGTGACTTATAACTACTTCCGAATCACAGGTTTCCTAATTTCATAATTAGCTCCTAATAGCATTCAAATGCAATACACAATCACAAATATTGTGATCCTGAAGTACAGTCTGCCAGGTATTGTGATTTGAAACAGCAGAACTTCTCTTTGTGAAATACACATTAGGGATGGATAATGTTGTATTATATGGCAAACTAAAGTAGGAAGACTATAAGCAGGGCAGCAAAAGAAATGTCACAATGAGACCTATACAAATGGTGAGTAGCTGAAATGTGGTGGTCCTTTCTAAGCCAACTGTCATGAATCAAAGGGGCAAAGCCACCGGATATGTTTCCACAAAAAAAAAATTATGACCATGGGCCAAAAAATACACAAGCATTTAGGACTTTTAAAATTCCCAAAGTAGGCTCCAATCAATGTTTAAGATGTGAAGAAAAAGAACACTGGTTTACTTGAAAAAACGACGATGACTATGATGAACTACCACCTCCTGCAACTGCAGCTGGCATCACTGATCACTGTTGATACCAATTCCTTTCAACAACTACAGAAAGTATATGTGTAGAGAAGTAGAAGAGAGATGGAAAACAAGTGGGAAGGAAGCAGAAATGTAAAAGTAACATTTTGTGATGCTTCTGGGCTCCTAAGTAGTTTCGTGGTAAATGTTAGTGATAACAGTATCCTCATTCCCTCCACCTCTGACACACAAATTCTTTTCTAGTGACAGTCAATGTTCACAGACACATAATGTTTTGTAATAATGGCTCTTTTTTTTTCCTCCAGAAGTACTGGTATATGAGGTGTGACTACAAAATAATGTGACTATGTTCAGAAACCAACCACATAACATTCACATTATCTCAGTCATCTTGTTTAACACTGTTTGCAGTGTCAGCTCTATGAAGAAAAAGATTTAAGTAGTTTATCTAGAAGAATATATAAATTATGAAAGGAAGCCATCACTTTCCTAGTGATAAAGCGGTTTGGTTTTTTTGGGGGGGAGGAGCACTTTATAGGATCAAGAAAAAAATGGAGATTTTTGTCATTCACGGTCTCTAAACTACTCCACCTTACAGCCTTGCTCTCTGCACCCTTTCCACACTCTCCAGCTCCCCTTTATGCTACCTGGTATGTAAGCATGTAAGTTCTAAAACATCTATCTCTCTCTCTCTCTCTCTCTCTGTCTCTCTCTCTCTCTCTCTCTCTGTCTCTCTCCTCTCTCTCTCTCTCTCTCTCTCTCTCTCTCTTCTCTCTCTCTCTCTCTCTCCTCCCTCTCTCTCTCTCTCTCTCTCTCTCTCTCTCTCTCTAGCTATCTCTACTGATTGATTCCCTATAACATACCTTCTTCCTCAGAAACTAGTCCTGGGATGACAGGGAAGTATCATTCAAGTAAATTGTTTAGAGGTATACGGGTAAGGCATTACATGTCCCATTCATAAGAATGTTGTTATTAAAATAAGAATAGAACATATGTATGACAGTTTTATTTCATGATATACGAAAGAAAAAACAGATCTAAACATATTTCCGAGCAGAATGAGCGTTATCCATTTGTACAAAATGTACATTATTCAGTTTCAGATTTCAAAAAGAAATCATATTCATTTCAGACTAACAAGCTATGTGGAAATTCTAAAGGCAAAATCATTCTTTTTAATACTACAAATCAGTTCTTATATATGATTTAGATAAAATATTTATAATTTATGGGGGCAGCTAGGTGGAGCAGTGGATAGAGCCCCGGCCCTGGATTCAGGAGGACCTGAGTTCAAATCCAGCCTCAGACACATAAGACTTATTAGCTGTGTGACCCTGAGCAAGTCACTTAACCCCAACTGCCTCACCAAAAAGCAAAAAAAAAAATTTATAATTTATTTTGGGGGCAATGTAAATCCAAATCCCTTACAATTACACTTTTTGTGCAAATTCCCTAAAATGAATCTAAAAGGATTACTGAGCTACCAATAACTGTTTTACACCTAGCTACTAAAATAAATGCCTGTCTTCTGGGCTTTAATTTTCTCATCTGTATAATGAAGAGACTATATTAAAGTTTACTGAACAGAACAAAGCAATACAATGACAAAATATAGGATAAAAAACTCTGTATGACTTGACCTTATATAGAAAACACTTGGAAAAACAACACATCTAATTTCCTTCACCAAGAAAGAACACACAGGGAAAAAATATTATATATACATTGTAAAAAGACTGGATGAAATTTACCTGAGGGAGAGCTATGTGTTGAAGTCATACTTCTGATTTTGGAGTCGGAGAGTCGAGAAATACTATTCGCTCTAATTCTGGGAGAAAATTTATCAGATGGGTTCAATCTTGCACCACTTCTAACAATGGATTCTTGAGTACGTGAAGAGGCACTACTTCTAGATATAGTTGCTTCAGAATCACTACGGGCTGATAATGAACCAAGTCTTGTTCTACGAGGCTGAGCCAATAAGTCAATTCTTGAGATGTTTCGTCTTCCTGTTGGAGGTTTTGATGTAGAACTGGTTGTGGACACCTCAGAAGCAACTGATGCTTTGTCAGCATCAGCAAGTTCACTGTCTGAAGCTTCACCAAGTCGTGCTCTTCGCAAGAGAGAAGTCCTAGTAGGCCGTGGTCTGGGAAGAGTGGTTGATTTACTAGATGAACCAGTTGCAACAGGAGATGTTTTAGATTTAGTTATCTTAGAGCCATCGAGTTTGGAATGAGTATGTTCATCTGTTGTGGTAAATGGAGCCCTTCCATGAGATTTATTAGAGTAAGTTTCCTGATCAGATGACATAATATCAGAAATAGCAGAATGAGGTACACTAGAGGTTTGATCATCATCTGTTAAGTCCACAGAAGGCTGTCTTATTCTTCCACTTGTCTGAACAAGTTTACGACCTTCTGCTCTTGATCCAATGTCGGTGGAGCGACTTTTTGTTTTCTTTTCAATTTTTTCTCTAGCACTTGAAGATGATGATTTTGCAACATCTTTGGAAGGAGAACCTGTGGAGCATCTATCTTTGTAAAGGCTAGTCAAACTCCTTCGTTTTTGGGTTGTTTTTCTTTCTGTGTCTCCAGTAACCAAACTGATTGTACTAGCTGTGTCCACATCTGATTCAGGTGAAATAGAATTATCTCTATTATAACTTGGAGTATCTGGGCCTTCATCAGTTTTGTTCTCATCTCGCAACTTAGCTTCAAGAAAAGCCATTACTGCTTCTGTATCTTTTAAAATGAGAGTTGTGTCCATACTAGAATCAGTATCTACAGAATCACTTCTTTCTCGTATTCTGCTGCTTACAGATGTTAATGCAAAAGAAGGGGGAGTAGATGTAGTTTGTTTGTTAATATGAGGAATAAGTTCTATAGGTATGTTTGTGCTAGGTTTTTCTATAGTAAAGCTTCCCTGTCTCACTAAGGACTTTGCAGATTCTTTCTTGTCTCCTCCTGGCCCTTTGGCAGTCTGACTTTTTTGAATTTCTTCAGTCTTTCTTCTCTTGCCTTCACTTTGTATCACCCTTTCCCCTTTATTTGTAGGCTGGCTTAGGGTTTTTTCTAGTGCATGTGTCCCTTGTCTGAGAGGTTCCTCCTTACCCTTCTCTCCTTGACCTGGAGCATGTTTTGAGGAAGCTAATTTAGTGGGTGTCCACTGTGCCTGGTCCTTTTGCTCCTGTTCTTGAATTTTGGCCAATGCTTGCTTTACCAAGGAGGCTTCTCTATCAGTCTCACTTTTCTCTTTCCCAGGAGCACAAGTGTTAAGATGAAATAGGGTTTTGGTGTCTCCAACACTTTTCAGAGTCTGACCATTCACAGTCCTGTTCATTTTCCCTAGGACTCTGTCAGCATCTTGCCGCTCTTTTGGGATACTTGTGTTGGGGCTTCCTTCTCCTGAAGTTCTGTGTCTTGTTTCTCACCTATCTCTGACCGCAGAGGCAAGATCTTTGCTCTGCTACTTTCAAAAGACTTGTCTTCATTTGGAAGTTGAGGAAGTGTCCTTCTTTTTCTCTCCCCCTGGCTAGTTAAGGAAGTGGTTGATCCCGTGCTTCTCACAGAAATTCCAGACTCACTGATGTCTGTATCTACAGATTAAAAATAAAATTACAAACTTAATGATAGAAGAATATATCACTGCAAGAAATCATTAGACATAAGCATAAGATAGGCAATTATTGGTAAATATAGCAGAAAAAGATTTTAAAGTGCATACACAGAGGAAACTTTCTATTACAGAAAGAATATATGTGATCAAAACCTTGATCTGGTACTAGCACTGACCTTTTTTAGGTTACATGATCATGGACAAATAATATTCTCAACAAAAAGCATGCAGATTCTGAGATGCATGAATAGGTTTTAATGCAGGAACTAAAAAAAGTAAAATCCTGATGAGACAAAAATGCATGTATCTGCATGTGTGTGCGCGTGGGTATGTGCACGTGCGTGAGTGCTAAAACACTTTTCTATTCTGTTTTAGTGAAGGGAAGTTTAACATACCTTTGTTTTTGTATCTTTTCCCATCATAGAGCCCTTGTACAAACAATTTGCTTAGAGGTTTCACTTACAGTTTACCATAGAGCAACATGGGGAAAACTGACACTTAGCAAAGGATTCTGCCCAAAGTGAATCTGGACTCCACAAGAAAAGTATATAATTTGGGGATGGGCATATTATTGGGGGGGGAAGGGATCAGATTAGATAAAGTACGTCTTTCCTTTTTCTGAAATGTCAAGATTTCAGCATTTAAACGGCAATGGGTAACATTTCTCCTATTGCAGTCCATAATGATTTCTCCCTCTTAATTAGGGCATTTATTGTCCATGTTATCCTTTCTATCTCTCTTTATATATAACACTTAATTATAAAGTATCATGTATTATTATTGTGCAGGACTATGTGACACAGTAGACAAACCTTAAAACTGTACAAAAGCATGTGACCCAGATTTGAAATCCACTTCTGAGACTTTGGAAAGAGAGAGAGAGAGAGAGAGAGAGAGAGAGAGACAGAGAGAGAGAGAGAGAGAGAGACAGAGAGAGAGAGAGAGAGAGAGACAGAGAGAGAGAATGTGGAAAATGGAAAGCACACTAGTTGTGGCATTAGAAGATCCTGACTGAAATCCCACTTCTGCCACTTACTACCTGTATAATCATTTTCATTATATAGAAAATGAAAGAGATGAAGTAGATAGCCTCTGAGATGTTTTTCAACTTTAAATCAATGATCTTAGAATTTAAAATTATATACATATATGTCATCCATACTCTGTAAATCTAAGCACTTCACAGACAGGGATATGTATTATTTATTTTTGTAACCTGCACAGCAAGTAACTAGTAGTTCTCTGAAGGTAGTGTAGACCCTTACTGGCTATGTGGCTCTGGGAGAGTCACTTGACCATTGTGAGCTTCAGTTTCTCATCTGTAAAATGGGGATAATAATAATATCTACCTCCCAGGGGTGTTGTGATATTATTTGTAAACCACTTTAAAAGCCTTAAAGTGTGACATATATGCTAGCTACTCTGCAGGCATTCAAATATTTGTCCAATGAATAAGGTTCATGATTTCAGGGACATATCAACTTAGCAAGCAGGATACAAATAGAAGGTTAACAACATCAACTGAGATCGTCTTTCAAAATATATGGTGGAATTTTATTTTCCTTAGTCAATACCTAACAATTTTACAATTAATTGTTGGGCCAACTAACTCAACTACTCTGCTATTTTCTCAATTCTTCAAATTATTGTGCCTTCCCTAGAGAATTGTGGAAATGCTACTATCAATTTTATAACAGGCTAATTATTCAACTATAGGTGAGGAGGTGAGGCTCAGAGAGGTTAATGATTTGCTTAAGATCACTGTTCAAGTTAGTGCTGGGGCTGGGAATAGATTTCACATTTTTAACTAGCAAGTTCAATACTCTTTCCTCTATAACACAATGCCTTATTTTTCATTTCTTATGAGAATAAAATAAGAAGAAATGAACTAGGACTGAGGTGACATATATATATGTGAGACCTTGAGAGTAAAAGCTTCTAAACAGCTGACTAGATCATGGAAGAGGCAGGCTCTTGCAAATATCTTAAGTCTATGACAGGGGTAGTCCCAAATACTTTACACGGGACCACATATAAATGTGTAAATTTTTTGCTAAATTATTATGGTAGAGTGAGAAAAAAAGAAGTGGTTCTGGAGTCACAGGGCTTGTGTTAAAATTTAACCTTGGTGTGACCTTGGGCAAGTCATTCAAACTCCCTGTGCTCAGGTACCTCAGCTCTAAAATGAGGGGTTTGGGTTAGATGACCTCTGACGTTCCTTGTAGCTCTTGATCTAAGATCCTATCCAGTGTATTTGAATACAAATTTACAGGCATATGAAAATCACATAATGTTAGATTAAAAAAAACTCATTGTTTTTTTCCTTTCTGCAACGAACACTTTGGAAATAAACTTTACTTTAGAATTGCACTTATTCACAGCTTTGCATTAGTTTTAGATTCCTTTGCCAACTGATTAAGCAGTGATATTTCTCAGTGATTTAAGAAAATTCTATTTCATCATTCAGAGCTAGAATAAGGCTTTAATAATATTTTCACTAATATTCAAAATGAATTCACAAATTTGGTGCATCACAGAAATATATTAACATAAATCTAACTGATAAATAGTCTAGTTTTAACATTAAAAACTGTCATGCATGAAAATGATTTAAAATACCATTTTCTATAGGTGCAGATGCAGACAACTCCATCGTCCTGTCTTCCTGGTCATGTCTTGTATGATTAGCAGCTAAACTAGCCCACTGTGAAACCCATCTCTTGTTTCCAGATGAAGTGGTGCCTTCCTATAAAAAGAAAGTAAGTATATGATTCTTATTAAATCAATGAGCTTTGTTATCTGAAACTCAACTGTATCCACATATACATTTACATTGCTATAATTATGCTTTATAGTCTCCTAACAGTAATCACCTGAAACTAACAAAGTGATTTTAGTAATTGTTTTTTAGCTCCTCCCCACACCCCCTTGACTTCAGCATTTCCAAGATCTGTGGTTTCACTGGTGAGGGTAGAACCCTCCACCAATGCAGATTGCAACCCTTTAGCAAATAGTCCTTATGAGTTGCTGTATATGTGGGGGGGAAAAGCCATTACTTGATGATCAGGAATATGATTCTTTAAAACAACTGGTCCTGTACTTAAGAGTCTTCTGAGCTTGACAGATCATGGCAGAGCTTTGTGTTCTGTTGGCACAGCCTTCTAACCCAAAGTTACTCACCTTCATAACACAATGAAACCCTGGAATAAGACTTAGCATGTGGTAAGAACAAAACAAAACAAAACTGAATGATGACCTGAGTGTAAAGCCCAGGTCTTCTGAAATGTAGTACATTTTTATTTGTTATTTAAAATCCATATTATTCTTGAAGTATGAGCATTTACTTAAGTTTAAAACTTTCTGGGGCATTAGGTAGGCTCACTGGCACCTAGTGGCTGCATAATTAATGCTTCTTGAACTGAACTGAAACCAGTCTTGTCACACTGTCACAATCAATGCAAATAAGTTTGTGGACCCTTCCTAATTACCTTCTCTTGCCAAATGACCTTGTACTTATTTTGCATATACTCATAAATGTTCCAGTTGTCAGTAGAAAATAAGCTCCTAAGGGCAAGGGCTGTTTTATTTTTGTCTTTTCTATCCCCACTATCTAGCACAGTGTATGGTACACTGTAGGCACTAAATAATGCTTGTTGATTGATTGATGGAGGAATTCTGTATATTCCAGGCCTGGCTGGTTTCAGGGTCCCACAGGACATTTGGGTCTTGCAAATAAAAGGTGTTTAATGACTACTGAGTTGAGTAGACGAATGGAACAGTATTTAGGGAAACTGGAACTCATATTTCTGTCTGAGCAGCTCTGAATTAGGGACAAAACTGCCAATTCTCTAAAAAACTCTCCATAATCAGGTTATGTGTAAAACTCTTGGTGGACTTCAAGGGGTATAGGGTAGAAAAGGAGGCTGCATTTGGCCTAGGACAAGTCCTTCACATCTGACCCTCATATAAATGTGCTACTGGATCATCTTGTTACCCAATGTGACCTGAAATAAATGGAATTTAGCCCATAAGATGTCCTATCGTTCTAGAGGTCAATGGTCTATATTATTGTGTTTAATGCCAGGACAATAAGAAGAGGGAAAATATCCTTAATTTGAATGAAAAATACTATCAACTTAATATGACAGCCTAGAAGTCAATGCTGAATATATGAACTAGAATGCTGCCTGGACAATGTAAAGCTATAATTAAGACCTTATTTTGAAAAATTTATAAGTTACTTTATGTCTGTTTGTTGTACACCTATTTTCTTAAACGGTTTTATGCAAAACAGAAGACTTATGGAAGATATAAAGAAAAGGAATAAATGAAAGTAAAATGATGAAAATAATTTTGAACTGAAAACAAAACACTGAAAGAATACAAAAGTTTTTAAGGTATATATTTTAAAAAGTATAAACCAAGATTTCTATAAAATCACAATTTCTAGAGAAGCAGTTTAAACTCTGCCTTTTAATAAGATCTTATAGCCTTGAAAGCAGGTATATCACACTTCATGATGCCACTGAAAGTAAAAATACTGCCACTGAATATTTTGTCTACAAAAGGTATAAACAGAACTGGATGAAATATCTATTTAGCATCCTTCAATATATGCAAACACTCACTAAGCAATACTTAGATTCACTGGCTTGGGACATATCATTTAGTCGAACAAAAACCTTGTTATCTCTCAAATCACAGTGCTATAAGATTTTGTTATAGGTATCTTAGTACATAATCTTGAATGCTGAAGCCAGTTAGTTCCATGGAGCAACCATAAGTATACAGCTTTCTATCACAGTTGATCTATATGGCTCACTGGTTCACTTTTAACAGATGACAAGCAACCAATTCACTTGCTCTCAAAAAGCAGTTATTCAAAACAAAACAAAACAAAATAAAACAAAAAAGCAAACATCCATGCAACCCACCCCTAACCAAACAAGTTAAGAAGAGGAGAAAATAAATAAAAATATAATGGCTTCTTATAGACACTTTCAGAGAATGACACTGGCATGAGAAAAGTATTCTGATATAAAGATACTAATATCAATTTTCAGTCACAGGAGATACTTTGTCTGTAACATGTATAAGTGAATCTACTAGCCAAAATAGATGCGGAATCCTAGGATTTTATATACAATTTCAATCTAAGTATATCAACTGATCCATTTGAGTCTTTAATAACTTCTGAGGAACAGACATCCTATACAGTTGGATAATTTTTTCCTATATTTAACATTTTGAAATGTACATTATCATAGGACAGTATCAACGTCTTTTTTTCCAAGACGTCCTCTCTGACTTAAGCTTATAGGACTCTAAAACACCCTTGCTATGGGGATCTCTTTGTGTGTGTGTGTGTGTGTGTGTGTGTGTGTGTGTGTGTGTGTGTGAGAGAGAGAGAGAGAGAGAGAGAGAGAGAGAGAGAGAGAGAGAGAGACACACACACACACATACCTCACTAGTAAGCACTTGCTTTCTAGTTATTCTCATGATCAGAGAATTTACTGAATGAGAACTAGGAGAAAAAAAAAACCTCACAGATAATCATCTCCTAGAATCATTTCTTTACAGCTGGACTGGACCTAGAGGACATCAAGTTCAACTTCCTCATTTTACATATGAAGAACCTGAGGTCCAGAAAGGTTCAGTGATTTGCTCCAGGTCACAGAGGTAATGTCAGAGTTGGAAACGTTAACTCTGGTTCTCTGATTTTATCACTTGTGCTTATATCTATTAAAGATGAGGAAACAGGTTTAGAGAGGTCCAGTGACTTTCCAAGAGTCACAGAGTAGAGTCAAATGAGAACCTTGGATCTCCTAATCCCTAGTTCAGGACTCTTTGATCTATGCCACACTTTCTTATGTGCTTAAATCTGATCTTGCCAAGTAGATGGTCATTTACTAGATCATAGGGGCTCGGTTTTCTATTTGAAAAAAAAATTCCCTTAATACCTAGTGCCATGCTAAGCATAAATAGCAAACAAAAGAGCACTGCTGTGGAATGACCTAGGTTCACACTCCACTTCCCATACTTACTTAGCTGTGTGACCATGAGCAAGTCAGAATACCACTGAGCCTCATTTTTTCTCATCTGTTAAGTGGGGATAAAAATGCCTATAGTAACTAACTTCTCACAGGATTTCTGGGAGGATTAAATGAAATAATATGTGTAAAGTACTTTATAAACTTTAAAGATATCTAAAACCCCAGTTATTAGTAAGATTATTATGTGCTCAAAAATCTTTATTGAATTAACTTCATTTTTATCTGTAAAATAACTGGAAAAATATTGAACAGCTAAATTGCAAAATCTAAAACCCTCTCAATTATTTAAAGACTGCTTTTAGCTTGCACTAGAACCACAAATCTTGTGAAAACTAGATGTCTAAATGTGTTTTTACAAGAAATCACTCAAAATAATAATAAAATGTTTTTTTTGAAATACATGTTTTCACAGAGAGAAAGAGTTAATCATCAGGAACAGAATTCTACCTCAGAATCAAGAAATCCAGATGTAATCAGTGTTTTTTTTTCTTCTGTTACTACTGCAGCAGAATTCAGAGCCCAATCTTTTATTAAATCTTTCTGGTTTTCATTGATAACAGGCCTATTATAATCCTGACCGTCATCTACTCCAAAGACCTGTGAAATGAAACCAATTATTATAGAGATTAAAAAGGAATGCCTAAGCATGAGGTTATAGAATGGATGGCATCATTAACTGAATAAAGGCCACTTTTTAAATATACCAATCTAAAACAGAAAAATAAAACTAACAATCTGAATAAGAGTTACGTTTTTCAAATGAAAAGCTGTGTATTAAGTGCATGTCAGAAAATTCATTGGAAAAGATTAATTTGGTGAGGAACAAGGTATATCTAATCATAAAAATGAAAGTCTCTTCAAAACATTTCTCGACATTATCAGAAAAATAGACAATCTGATCAAAGAGTTATTTATTCTTTCCTTTCCCTCTCATTTATGACACAGTTAAATAAGATTATTACAAACATAAATACAAATTTTAATTCAATAAATCTCTCAAATTAAAAATTAAAACTTAATCAATATATAGTTTATTAATTTCTGTAAACTGTCACTGCCTTGAGTTAATTTTATCACTAACTCAATAATCTCAATCCTCAAAACTACTGAGTTTTCCTTACTATTAGACTAAGAGTCACTGCTTTCTACATTGTTGCCATTAAAGGGGAAGAAATTTTGCCTAGAACGTAGGGCCTGAGCTCTGATTGGAGAGGAAAGTACTCAAAAACCATCACCATTAGGAACAGTATTTTATAATATTTGATAGTAAATTGGTTTATGTCATAAGGAAGAGTATTATGAGTGGGTTATTAGGTCAAGAGAATGCTATGGATATAATAGCATATTTAGATTTCAGAAAAACATTTGATAATTCTTCCCATGATATTCTTGTAGATGAGATGGATAAATGTAGACTAAATGACTGAACAGTTTAAATGTTAGAAGTTGGAACTAGTTGACCATCTAGATCAAAAGAGTATTTATTAACTTATGTCAATGTGGAAGGAAGTCTTTTGGGAAATGCTGCTGTGCTCTTTGCTTGGCTCTGTTAAATCCAGAATTTATATCAACAAGCTGGATGAAAGCTGTAAGCTTATTGAGTTTGCATGTGACAAAAAGTCAGGAAAGTTAGCTGATACAGTGATAAGACTCAGTACCACCCCTCCCCCCCAAAAAATAATTTCTACTAATCAGAATGATAGGTAGAAGCCAACAAAACGAAATTTGATAAGAGAGCCACACAATGTCCTACAAACTGGTTAAAAAAAATCAGTTGCACAAGTACAAGGATGGAGAAATAGTGTTTTACTGAAAGCAGTCTAATGAATTATTTGCAAGTTCAAAATGAATAAACAGTGTGATGGACAAAGCAGCCAATATGATTTTAATTTCTACTAATCAAACTCTGATATTTAGAACAAAGAGGGCACACTATACTCTGGACCACAGAATTCTTCCCTGGTTAGTACACATATTGGAGTCCTCATTTTGGAAGAGAAACTGAAAAACTGGGGCTTCTCTAGGAAGCAACTAGAAAATTAGGGAAACTCAAAACCTTGATATGTGAGGATCAAATAAAATTACTAGAGATAGTCTGGAAAAGAAATTATAAAGCTTATGAGAGCTGTCTTCAAATCATTAAAAGGTTTTTATGTAGAAGAAGAATAACATACGGTTTTTGTTTTGGTTTTTGGTTTTTTTTGGACAGAACTAAAACTAATGAGAAGTTTAAAGTGGGAGAGATTTTAACTAAAACAGGGTAAAATGTCCCGACAATTATTACTGTACAAAAATGGAATGGATTATCTCAAGGAGGGTAGTCCCTTTTCACTGAAGGTCTTCAAGCATAGGTTGGATGACTGGAAGTAGTTAGGGTTATTGTAGATAAGATTCATGATTTGAGTAAGAGTTGGCTTAGATTTAGCTGAAGCTCCTTCCATCTCTTTGTCTATAAATCAGATTATCTTTCAAAATTTTACAGCTGAGGAAACTGAGGATTAGTGAGACTAAGTAATTTGTCCAATGTCACAAAAATGAATTAATGGCAGAGCCAAAACTAGAAGCAAGATCTCCTATTCTGGAGGTCTACCTATTCTACTAAAATGCCTTTAATGTCACTATGACTCACATTCCCTATTCAACTCATCCTATGGTAGTAAAGTTTATTTTGTCTACTTCTTTCCTTGAAGAGTGGTGTGCAAACTCTAGGTTCCCATTCATTCTACTTTCTTTTCTGATTTTTAATTTAATTTAATTTTTATTTTTTATATTTACATAATTTATAAAATTTTATATAAAATTTTATAATTTATATAATTTAATTTTAAATTATTTTATTAAAATGATTAACTTTTCAATTTACTAGACAAAGGAGAATATAATATTTGAAACTGATAAAATCCAGGGTGTATAAAACATGGAATTGTTCAACAAACCCCAGTAGAACAGAAATAGAAGACAAAGAAGTTTTTAAGATATGGATCTATGAAACATATGAAACAGTAGGTTATGAACAAATCTACAAAATCTCTTATCCCATAAGCAGGATATGGCTAAAGTACAAAGAGCTTCAAAATAGCTTTTGATAATTTCAGGGATGATAGATCCACAACGGATGCTTTAAAGAAACCCTGTTTTAGGTGCATGCTCCTAAAGTAAAGTTGATATCTAGGAAGGCAATGCTTTCTTCCCAGATTTACCTCTTAATTAAAGCAGTAAAGTCAGTGCCTTTGATCCAGCAGGGTGATTTCTAAGTATGATAACAACAACTAACAACAACGAGCTAGCATTTCTAGAGTGCTTTATGCTTTGTGAAGTCTTTACAAATATCTCATTTGATCCTCACAAAAACCCTGGGAAGTAGTTGCTATTATTATCCCCATTTTACAGATGAGGAAACTAAGGCAGAAAGAGGTTAAGTGACTTTCCTAGGGGTCATACAGCTAGTAAGTGCCTGGGAAAGGCTTTGAACTCAGGTCTTCCTGACTCCAGGTACAGCCTATCATATCCACAATGCCACCCACTGAATTTGCTAATTACAGTTTAAAATGGTGCAATAATTAAAATATAAATTTAAGTGCAAGTATAAAACATAATTTTAAATTAATTACAACGTGAACTTCTTCAGAGTTTACATTGAGAAAACTTCCTGAGAACTTGCAAATGAGAAAAATTTATTTATATTTTAATTCTCCACAGGTTTAGCAAAGTTCTTGCACAAGTATAATCACTATGTGATCACAAATGTGTGTACTAGAGATAAATGAATATATACTGAATGAAGGAAATTAAATAAATTTTATGAAGCTTGTGCAATTACATGCTAAAAAGAAGGAAAGGTTGATTTAGGGATAACCAATGGACACTGTATGCCTCACTGCTTCTTTACAATATCAAGAGATTTAGGAAAGCTACCACAAACATACTGGGTGGTAAATATTCTCTCATTATACTACATACCTTTCTCTTCTACGGCAGTGAGCGCATGGGAGGAATGGACAAGAACTGCAAAGAATGGAAAGGTATGGATAGGTTGCAACTGGCATCATCAGAAAGAACATCCACACCAGTATGATCAAAGATGCATCTGAGAACAGATTTAGAGCTGGAAGGCACCTCAGATGTCATCTAGTGCAATCTCTTCCACTTATAGATGTTGGAAACTCAGAGAGGTTAAATGGTTTACTCAATGTAATACAAGTAATTATACAAGTCAGGACTTCTGACTCCATATTCAAGATACTTTCCACTGCCCTGTGCTAATATGTATTTAATCTGGTCACAATATAAAATACAGAATTTAATAGAATTGTCCATTTATACTACAAGACTAGGAAGCTGAAGGAAAACATGAGCTATGTTTCCATAAATAGTCTAAAAGGCAGTAATGCCCAAAAGAGCACTGAAGCTATACTAAGACTGGGTTCAAGTCTTGGCCTGGCCACCTTTAGCAAATCTAATTCTCAATTTCCTCATTTGTCAAATGGGAACAATAATGCAGGTACCACCTACCTACAACACATGGATGTTATGAAGATTATGTGAAATAATTTTTAACCAAAAAATGTCAAGTAATTATAAACTGGAATTATTGTAAAATATACTTACGGTGAAAATCATTTGAAGCCTATTCTTTTTATTTTAAAAAAACTAAAGACTATGACCGAATGGATCCATTTCCCCTATTCCACTACCTTCTGTGATCCTATTTCATTTTGTTCTTTTCTTTTAACAATCTCTGATCCATGTCTATGTGGAATGTCAGTCCACAACCCCTGGGAACCTCTAGAATTTTCAGGGATCTAGGCCTTAAGCTGAGTGAGTCCAGCTGAGCTGATCTAATATAAGGATACAAGCACTCAGGGTGACAGTAATGAAACGTAATATAACTGACAGCAAAGGAGACAAAAAAAAACCCAAAACAAAACCTAAAAGGCAGATGTAAGAACTCAAATGTCATAGCATTCAGGATACACTCACTATACAGGAGCACAGGCCTTTAGGTCCTGAGGGAATCATAGTACTAAAAGATAATATAAAAACTCACGCTCATAATGACACTAAATTATTAAGAAAATGTTAAATTACATTAGGTAAAGTCTAAGAAGCCAAAGAACCATGTAGTATTTTTAAAAGTTTTAGAACCAAAATGGTAAAAATTTAACAAAATTTGATGGTTAAACTCTCAGTTATAAAGAATGGCTCACTTTTCATCATCTTGCCTCCCCACCCCGAAGGCCCCCTTCTAGATAGCTTTGGGCTTATCATATTTTCTTTGAAGAAGGTATACAAAAATACATTCACACAAACATCAAGTCTATATTTAGCATTCCTTTTTACCATTAACTTATAATATCTATTCTTTGTAGACATTTTTACTAGACTTCATGATACAAATATGATGAGATATGAGATCAAGAAAGCATTTTACTGCTAAATCTGGACAAAGGAACTTTAGAACAATGTCGAAAACGCCCTCATTTTCCTATGAATAGTTCTGGGAGTCTGAGAAGATAATATTTGGAAAAATTACATTCCTAGAAATTGCTTTTAATAAGCAGAGTCTAGATATTTGCTAAATGATGAGTTTTAAATGT